CGGATGAAACATGGCTCTTCAATACCACTTGGACTTTTTATTGAAGCTGACAATCCTTTGACTTCCGTATTCTCAACATTCAATGATACCTACAATACAGGACAATAAATTTATGAAGGTACGATTACCCTTTACGAGGTCGTCCCGTCTTTCGTAATGAGATATACCAGGGTTTTTTCGGTGTACCATATGTACAGGAAGAATATAAATTATAGTAATTTTCTAGCATTTCCTCCATAAATATGCATTCTATTGAATAATTTTGTTTTAACTGAAAAACAATTAATAAAAACTATTTGAAATTTGTATTTCAAAAAAATTTCAGGAAAATATTTCAGGAAAAGTATTTCGGAAAAAAGCCTATAAATTATAGTAATTAATTAGAAATTTTTTAATTCATATCTAATAGTTCATTCTTGTATTTTTTTTTAAATAAGATAGTTAACATTTAAAATCGAAATTTAATTTTAGTTCATTTATTAAATTATCCATTTATTCTCTATCTAATACTTTTATTAAATATTTTTACAAATTATATTATTAATATTACTACTGTATACCGGACTATCGGGTAATCAAATAATTATATTATAATTTTCATTTAAGAAACAAACCGCAGCGTATAATCGACCCTCACGATCCATACATAAATAACGTTGTGATTCACGTCCACGTATACTTACTAAACCAAATGCAACCGATATGAATTCCAATATACCTAAAAAAATGAAAAACAATACGAAAAAAATTACGGTAATATACCATAAATAGCAAACGTATTTAAATAATATTATTTAAAATGAAAAAGGAAACGAATAAGAAACAAATTAAATTTGAAATGATTAACAACTGCATATTTCCGCATATCATACGCTATCCTACGATTGCATATTTCATTACTGCACGGATCTGTAACCGAAATACATGACTAATACGTGAAAATTTAAATATTTCAAATACCGTATCACTCTATCTAATCAGTTGTTTATGTTGAACTTTTAACTACCGTAAATCGAATATCAAAAGATTATGTGAGAAGAAAGAAAAAAGACATTAATAAACAAATTTTGCTAAATTATAACTTCAAAAATTCAATTAAAGATTTGGTCATTATTTTCCGTAGAACTTATATGTGCAATTTTCTTATTTCACTAAAGCCATAATTTTGCAGGTAAATTTTGCAGGTAAAAGAAAATGAAATTGAAATTAAGAATTAAAAAATGAGTTCCTTTTTTTTCTTCTCCATAATATCGTATGATTTATTTGAAAATTTAATTTCATTATGATTTTTAAATGCATCAAATAGCCTTGACTATTTTTAAAAACATCAAATGAAAATTTAATTTCATTAATATCTTTCCTATCCAAACCTATTAATTTCATATCAATCAAAATAGCCATAAAAATGAATATTATCATTACCATTCTTTTTTATTATAAATTAATGAAAAATATATTTCCTAATATGATTCGCTTTTTATATGATTTCTTCTAAGAGATAAATTAAATTTTTGAAATACAATTATGTCACAAAAATAGTAATTTGCTATGAGTTAAAAATAGTATTATCACTCAGTTATTGATAATATAATCAGTTGATAATATTAATCCTATTAGTATTAATTAAAAAATCAATATTAATTATTTAATTTTAATTACTAACACTATCATTCTTTTTTATTATGATTTGATGAAAAATATATTTCCCAATATATTTCACTTTTTATAGGATTTATTTTAAGAGATAAATTAAATTTTTAAAATACAATTATATCACAAATACAGTAATTTGCTATAAGTTAAAAACAGTATTATCACTCAACTATTGATAGTATAATCAGTTGATAATATGAAATAATTAATCCTATTAGTAATAATTAAAAAATCATTAATAATTATCTCATTTAATTACTGCTACTACTGTTGCTAACATTTAATGAATTATTTTAATAATTTAATCATTTTTCTCTTTTATTTATTTTTGCACTTCTCAGTTCTAATCATTCGAAATATTTTTAGGCAAGAAAATAATAAACATACTGAAACGACTATTTTCTAAACGTGTACCACGTACGTATTCTGGCCTTGATAAGCCATTTGTTTTAGCCTCATATTCAGCTGTACGTTTATCCAAGATTTCCACCCATGTACCGGAACGACAAAATAAAGCACCCTCTCGATTAGGCCCATCATGCCTAAATGAAATACTTATCATTTTAATTTGCTTCTAATTTAATAAGAAAATGTTAAACGAAATTAATTATAAGTTTGCTGATAATTTATTAGAAATAAAATGAATTATAAATTTGCTAATAATTTAATCAAGAATTGATAAACGAAATAAATCACTTTATAGCATTAATCATGAGAAGATATATCAAACAAATTTTCATTCAATATTTGGTAGTTTTTCGAAATTTGCAAATTATTAATTAATCATAAATTAACTTTCTGTGCTTCACAAATTATTATAATCATAATTAAATTAAAAATCATTACTATCAATCAATGTATAGTTTTGCATAGCTATCAGTGTAACAAGAAGCAAAATTTATTAAACTTCGTAATACTTTTCTATTTCCTAAAATTTCATATGTTTAAAATAAATTGGAATTTTTAGAAGGAAATTTTTTTCTTCATAATATGAAAATTTCAAAAGCATTTAGATGAAATTTGTGTAGTCGAAATTAGTAAGTTGAAATTTTGAAATTAATAAATTGGAAATGAAAAATTGCGCAGTCGAAATTAATAAATTGTAATCGAAGTTAATAAATTAAAATTAATCGAAATTAATAAATTGAAAAGCTAAAACAGTACCGCAATGTAAATCGTCGTGTATGCTGAGTGTACCTAAGTTGTTGAGCTTGTCGAGCGCAATTAGCAAGTAAATTTGATTTAATATAATCACTTGATGGTAATAAGTTCAACGTTAAAGATGAAGATGCAGCAGCGGCAAGAGAAGAAGCAGCGCCAAAAGGTTGTAAATTTGATGAAGTAGGAGTAACAGGCGCAGGAGTGATACCAGATGAACCACCAATTGTTGCTATACCATTCATCGACGATGAAAACAAATCACCTGACCACCAGTTACTGCCTGTGATCGGCGATAAAAAATACAGACCTAAAATTAAATAATTTCGAAAATTTCTTTTTGAAACAAATTATAAATCATATAAATTAATCAAAATAATTAATCTTTAACAATGATTAAATCACAGAATAATTACACTGAATATAATAATTTATAAGGATTTAATTATTTTTATACCATATAACAAATTTAGAAAACAAAAATTAACTCCTAAAGAAATTCAAATTATTTATTAATTAATTCGTTTTAATGTTTGATTGATAATTTAGAGTAAGTATAAATTAGATGAAATAATTATTTTACAATGACATGATAATAATGATAATATTGATATTATCTGTACCGTAATGCAAACACCAAAGATAAAAATAATGGAAATCAATAAAATGGCTTATATAGAATTTAATGTTGAATTTAAAATTTTTTAAGTGTATAATTTAATATTTTACTCAAAGAAATAATGAAGCGTATCAGTGAAATTGATTACTTTAAGATTTTATCTAGGATCGACAGATTACGATACAACAGTTACGGTAGATTACAGTAAAAGCAAAAAATAACCACTATTGAAGTGCACGACAAAATTAAGTAAATTAGACCGTAAGTTAAATGCAATATGAAAACAATGAAGATGGTGGAAGCATAGATGGATTATGTAAGTCATAATTTATTGAATAATGAAACGCATACTAAATTCATCAGAAAAAAAAACGAAATCATGAAGCTTACCGGAATTATCGTTTTCCAATCCAGTATCGTAACGGGAATCGTCTTGACCGGTTGTTGCTGCGGAATGCGGTAGAAGCGAAAATGTTTGATGATAATGATTAGGATCGTGTTGATGCTGATGATGATGATGATGATTATGATGCTGATGATGTTGATGATGATGATGATATTGATGCTGTGAATTAGAATGGTAATATTGTTGCTGTTGTTGTTGTTGTTGTTGTTGTTTTTGTTGCTGCTGATGGTTCAGAGGTAATCCGAATAATGTTATCTCGGTTAACAGGATGGACAGGATTAAAATAAAATGGCAGTAAGCCAACGATACTGCTTGTTCCGTTTTGTTAAACTTTATTAATAATATCACAAAAATATTTATTATGTAAATTTTTCTCAAATTATTATAATACCAATAAAATTTAGCTTTCGTTTCAAGATGATAGCAAAATGAAAGCCGCTGTAATATCAGTAATGATAATAGTAACAATAATAATAGCAGTAATATTAATTGTATTAATAATACAAATTGTTGTTTGTCTAGCAGAATGCTAGGAATAGTAAACGTTTTTAAAAATGGGCCTTACGGCCCCCAATATAATAATTGATTATTTGATCCTATAATTTGCCAAAATTTACGATTATTTTCGCAAAATTTTTCCGTCTTTTTTTTCTTCGTTATGAAATTAAATATTTACTTCTTTCTTCGTATATAATACTACAACAATAACAATAATTGTCGTGTATTTTTATCAGCAATAGCTTAGATATTGTTGATTGATTGTGGAATATGATCGTAGCAGCAATAAACGGATAGCAATAAACCGGAATTGTATAATGATGAAATTGTTGTATTGAAGCCAGAATTGAGCTTGAAATTTAATTTGATAGCATATTGCAGATAGCTTCTTTGTTTTAAATATTTATTGCTGAAAAGTGAGAAAAAAAATTATTTTAATTCAAAACAATAATGAACAGCTTTTTCACGTTGTTAAGCACTTATTAAATAGTAAATCAAAGATTTTATTTTATGGTATATAATTTTATATTTGAATAAATGAATAAGTTGAGAGTATTTCTGGTTTAGATTTTTAGCCTTAAAAAATTTTTTAAAAAAAAGTTGAGGACAAGCAATAATGAAATCCTTAGGGAATAATTGAAATTTTCCGATACATATATCGAAAGCAAAGTTTATCTAAAGATAATGTCAAACAGTTAATTTCATCTGAAAAGAAATTTTTTTTAATTTGCACATTTCCTTTTTTGCACAATTTTAATTATTGAACAGTTAACAATAGCAAATAATTATGAATGAATTAATTAGCTAACTATCTGCAACGATGATTTATTTTAAATGATGAACAATAGAGTATTAAATACTACTTACTACAGGCGTACATGTATATATTTTGAAATTTGAATGAAATGAATAAAATGAAATTGTGAACGAATGAAACAGCTAATTATCTACGTGTGATTTATTTTAATGATAAACAATCGATATTAAATACTGCTTACTACAAAGATATATATATTTTGAAATTTGAATTAAACAACAAAATGAAATTGTGAATGAATCAAATAACTAACTATCTGTAACGATGATTAATTTTAATGATGAACAATCGAATATTAAGCATCGCTTACTAGAAAGATATATATTTTGAAATTTGAAACAAATGAATAAAGGTGATACGATAAAGGTTAAAGGTTGCTATTTTTTGCATTTGAGAAAATTTCAAAAAATTTTATTATTTTATGAAATGATTTTAATCCTACATTTTTTCTGCAAAAAAGGAAAAATACGAAAAATTGATGTTAAAAGAAAATTCTCTATATGGGGTATAATTTTTACATTTGAATAAATGAATGTTGAGCCTAGCTTTCTAGCTTGGCTTTTTTTGGCTTTTTGTTTAACAGAATTTAAAAAAAAGGCAACATCAGGCCAAGCAATAGTAAAATCCTCAGGGAATATTCGAAAAAAAATTCTTCAAGATATGAGGCATTAGTAAATATTTTCATTTGAAACAAATATGCATAATTTGTTGTAAAGTTTTGTATTATTTATATTGAATAATTAATTTCACTTTAAAGAAATTTTGCTTTTATTAAAACAAAAGAATTTTTTTTTAAGTTTTGCTTATTTTCTAATTTTCAATGAATCTTTCAATGAAAAATGAGAAATAAATCAATCGGCTAAAATAAATTTACTTCCTATTGTTAATGTACAGAGAATAAATTCTAATATTTATCAGAGTTAATTAAACTAACTAGAAATTAATTTGTATTAATTAAATTAACTGTAATTAATTAGCACTTATTTACGATTCCCATTTGCAAAAGAAAAATTAATGCATATCTGCATAGTTAGTAAGTGATTTATTTAACTGTACAACACATATACTGTCAACAAACTAGAAATATTCCCGATAATATTAATGCATGACTAATAGATCTTTTCCAACTTAGGTTTATTTTTATCACAAAAAAGTTCTAATTATAAATTAAATTATAAATTGTCTATGCTAAGCTTATTTGTAATACAAAAGAAGTTGTAATGCGCATTGTTAAAATAAGCTTATTTGTGCATTATAAGTATTCTATAAGATAAGCTTATTTGTATTACAAATAAAATTTATAATGCATATTATTTAAGTAAGCTTATTAGTGCATTATACGAGTTCTATAAGATAAGCTTATTTGTATTACATATAAAAAAATTTATAATGCATATTATTTAAGTAAGCTTATTTGTTCATGTATGTATTCTGTAAGATAAGCTTATTTGTATTACTAACAAAAAAAGTTATGACACATATTGTTTAAATAAGCTTATTTGGGCATTATAAGTGTTTTATAGGATAAGCTTATTTGTGCAATATATGTATTCTATAAGATAAACTTAATTGTATTGCGAATAAAAAACTTATAATGCATGTTGTTTATGCAAGCTTATTTGTGCATGTTCTATAGGATAAACTTATTTGTATTACAAATAAAAAAGGTTATAATGCATATTATCAAAGTAAGCTTATTTGTATCGTAAAAAAGGTAGGATAAGTATGAAAAGATGCTAAGACAGAGCAAGAAAAAAGTGACAAATGAAATGATAATTTTTAAAATTAAAAAAATTACTTATAAATTAAAATTCAATATTAATGAAATGATTTATTGATTTGGATGAAGAGAAATGAAAGTGTCGGATAGATGTAACACATCAAAATGGGATAGATATCATCTGATATAGCATAGAGTGAGATCTCTGATTTAGATCTTCTTGTAATGCAATTAAAAGTTTTAGTTTAGAAAAAAATTAAAGCTTTTGTTTTAGTTGCAGCGAAAGGGAGGAGAAAAACGGATGAAAAAATCGAAGGCAAATTATTAAAAGTGCTGTTAAAATTGCTTCAATTTCTTTCCATTTTCCCCTCTTTCATCTATAAGAATTATGATAAGTAATTCTATGCATTATCTGATATAATCATTTCGAATATAATTTCTGATATAATTAAATTTAAACAGAAGGATAATGAAAATTGATGATAATGAATAATGATAATGAAAATTAATAGCATGATATATATACCATTTTCTTTTCCTCTATAAGAATTATAAGTAATTTTTTGCAATATCTGTTATAATCATTTCCAATATAATTTCGGATGTTATCAAATTTAATGAGATGAATAGCAAACGGATGATGAAAATTGATGATAATGAATAATGATAATGAAAATTAATAGCATGATATATATCCCATATAATAAAATGATAAAATTATCTCTAATATAATTTCTGATATAATCAAATTCAATAAGATGAACAACAGAAGGATAATGAAAATTGATGAAAATGAAATAATGATAATGAAAATTGAAGTATATCACGATATATATATCATATATTATAATGATAAAATTATCTGTTATCATAAATAACAATTGAAATTATCAATTAAAAAGATAATCATAAATTAAAAAATGAAAATTGCGCAATAAATAAGAGCAAAAAAGAAACATGAAAACTTTTTTCAGGGGTGATAGGTCAGAATATATACTATATTGAATGATTGGAATAGTTTGTGAAATTTCTTGATAGCATTTAAAGCGTAAGTGATAAAAGTAATAATAATTATGCTTGAATTAAAAATACACTCGAAAAAATGATCATTAATGATTAGCAATAATTAATGTATTTAGGTTATTAATTAGCAAATCATGAAAACAATTTAAAAAATCGAATAAA